AAAAAAAAAAAAAAAAGGACAGACTTAGGTAGTTTCTGCCAGTTTTTGGAAGCTCTCTGGTACCTTCAAATATTTTATACAGATTTTATAATTATTATCTGTGGAAAGTTAATCCAGCCAAACTATTCTGCCATAACCTAAGTATTATTTTTGATCAGAAAATAAAAACTTCAAATTAATTTTTTAAAAAAATGTGTGTGTGTGTTAACTAGGTGTGTTTCTAGATGCCTGATCCTATGATATGATGAATAAAACAGTCTTAGAAAATAATCAGGAGCTTTGCAAAGGCAGTTAACCTGACCTAGAGACGACCTGTATATTTCTTTAGTCATTTATTCCAAATATATCCATATTCCAACTCATACTCCTAAAAAGCAGTGGGATCTGTAGAAGCCCTACCTGCCATTGACAGGCCAGGTACGGGTGATGTCACTCACATAGCAAGAAGACTCACAACCTCCATCTAGCAGCACCATTTCCCCATCCTGAAACAAAAGTAAGACAGGTCAAAGTAGGTGACCTCATGATTGTCAGTTGTTTCTTCTAATTTGAGCACTTTGTGCCTTTCATCTTATTTTTTTTTAAAAGGCTCTAATTTAAAGGAGACTAATCTTCTCTGGTTCCTTCTCACAAGAAACAGCATCTAAACTTTTCAAATGAATTCATACTGGCTCAAGAAAGTTGCCACTGCATAGTGGTTAAGTGCATAGGCTCTGGAACCAGACCGCTTGGGTTTGAATTACTGGGTGTAAACATCAGCACATCATAAATGTTACCATTATCAGTATTAATTTAAAAAAATCCTAAACAAGTTGGTATCCAGGGCCTTATTCAACTACAATTATCCTTAACTATTTAACTTTAGAATATCACTTCTCCTTCTGCTCCCCCTCAAAATACATGTGGTGAAAAAAGAAAACTTTGGGTAAATTCCAATCTCACTACTTGCCATGTTATATTGAAATTATCTATTTATGCCCTTGAAGACAGGGCCTATCTTATTCTTATCTAAATAAGCACAGAACTTGGCACATAGTAGAATAATGGTCAAATAAGTACATATACAGTAATGGCGACTTTGAAGAATGGATGTGGTTTTGGTTTCTGGCAAAATGAGAATAAATTTCCTATTAGAAAACAACTAGATCCTGGATAAAAAATATATTTTATGAAATATTGACATTACATAACGTAAGAGACATCTTAAAGATTTTTTCTCTCTTGAAGAAAGACAACCCAGAACTGGATCTAGAGCTGCAAGTAACGATAAGGTAAGTGTTACAGTATATAGGAAAGGGGGTATCGCCCTGAGGCCCTGAAGCAAAGTAGGGAAAACGAACAGGAGAGTCCTGCATTAATCCAGGACACTCACGGGGGATAAAAGGGCCCTAGGTCATTAGGACCCACTTGGCTTCTGGCAAGAGCACATGCAAATAACTTTTCGAGGAAATTTCCTCCAAATTTGGGCCTGCCCATTTTCCAAAAAATAACATCAAGCAAGTATGAGCTCATAACCAAAGGTCTTCAACCACCCAAGGAGGTAGGTCACTGTGAGTGACGAGTTAACAGGAACAACAAATACCAAATTTAGATCTCCCAGGACTGCAGACAGTAGAATTATTGGATATAGAATAGCTATTATAAAATGCTTAGAGGGATAAAGAAAGGAATCACAAAGATTAGTAAGTAACAAGAGTCAGTCAAAAATAACTATGCAGATTTGAAAGGAACCAAATGAAAATTAAAAACAACTGCTGAAATAAAACACTCAGTGGATGGCTGAAGTGGTAGATCAGACAACTGAAGAGAACGTTTCCTGGAAGATGGAATTACCAAAATCCCCCAGACTGTGATAGAGAGAGACAGGCAAATGTAAATGCAAAAGAAAAGTTAGCTTATTGAAAACAGAGAGAAGTCTAACATACATCTAACTGAAGTCCCTGACGGACTGAATAGAGAGAATGTAGGAGAGATGATATGTAAAATAATGTCTGAGAATGTCCTAGAACTGATGAAGACATGAATCCACAGATTCAGGAAGCAGAAGATATCATAATGAGGATACATAAAAATACGTACTTAGACATATAATAAAACTGAGAAATACCAAAGAAAAAGAAATCTTAAAAGTAGTCAAAGCAAAAAGAGATTTCCCATAAGAAATGATAGTGTTTTTGTTTGTTTCATCAGGAACACTGCAAGTCAGAAGAAAGGGGAATAACATACTAAAATTGATGACTGAAAATAACTGTCAATCTAGGATGGTTTTCTTGGCATAGCCATCTTTCAAGAATGAGAACGAAATAGACAGTCTGGCTAAACAAAAATGGAAAAAGTTTAACAGCAGCATATCTTTCTCTAAAGGATGCTCTTCAGGTAGATGGATGGTGATCCCAGAAAGGCCATCTAGGATGTAAGAAGGAAAGGTGAATGTGTAGATAAATCTACACAAACTGTCAGAAGGTTTCCGCTTTGACCTATCCCTGAGAGCTGGATGTAGAGAGGCAGAACCACAAGGCAGCCTGTTCTCTCTGACTACATTTCTGCCAGATGCCTACTACACGGTCCACACCAGAGCGTTTCCAGATGCCCCAATAGTACCCTGCATTTCTCACAGTGTGTTGATGACCTTGCTCACTGACTTCAGAAGGGGCCCTTATTAACTTTCAGATAACCAAAGCCAGACCTAGAAGTTCTTAACTTATTTTCTCTTGGGCCACTTTATCTCATAACGGCAATACTTCTCTCTCTCTATAAAGCTACATTTGTGCTTGCTCTCCAGTTTTTCAAGAATGAACACCACCTTGTTTAGGAATAGACACACTGGTGGTAAAACTATGAAGAAAAAAAATGATTAAAACAAAAGTCAAGATGGTTGGAGACAGAAAGGGGGATGTGCTCCCAGGGGACTTCTAAGGTATGAATAATGTTCTTATCCTTGATGGTGGATATATGGCTGTTCATTTTATTATTATTTTTAAATGGTACATTATATTTATTGTTTTTAATATATATTTAACAACTTAAAAAAACCTTGTGGAATATAATGAAAATGAGAAATTTATCCTTAAATACTTATAATTAGAAAAGAAGAAAAGATGAAAATTAATGAGTTTAGCATCCAATTTAAGAAGCCAGAAAAAGAACAAGAGAATAAACATAAAGAGTAGAAGGGTGAAAGTAACAAAGCCAAGAGGATAATGTAATGAGATAGCAAACCAAGAAAAAACTGCACTAGTGATGCAAAAAGTTGGTTTTAAAAGACTAATAAAAACCAATACACTTCTCGGGAGATTTCTTTTTTTAGCCAATGTCTTTTAGGTGTAATTTACACACAGTTAAATGCACAGATCTTAAGTATACAGAGTTAAGTCAGCTTTGTCAAACGCATACATCCATGTAACCCCACCCTCATGCCCCTTCCCAGTCAACTCCCCATCAGAAGCAACCACTGATCTGATTTCTATCACCATAGATTAGTTTTGCCTATTTTAGAACTTCATATAAATGGAATCACATAGTTCGTAATTTTTTGTGTCTGGCTTGTTTCATTCAGCATAATGCTTTTGAGATCATTCATGTTGTTGGTAGTGCAGTGGTTTGTTCCTTCTTACTTTAAGAATATACTTCATGACAATTTCCTTATCTAATATTCTGGTGATGGATGCCTGGACTATTATGAGTAAATCTGCTATCAACATTCTTGAATAGGCATTTTGTGGACATTTGTTTTAATTTTTCTTGGAAAAATACCTATAAATGGAATTGCTGGGTTATAGGGTATATGGATGTTTACTTTTTAAAGAAATTGCCTAATAAGATTTATTAGAAAAAAAGAGAAAAGGCAAAAACATATTAAGAATGTAAAAAAGTATGCAACTACAAATACAAAAGATTAAAAGGTAAGACAATACTATGAGTAATTTAAAAAACTTACACAAAATAGACAAAACGGTAGAAAAATATAACTTACCAAACTGTCTCAGGAAGAGTGGAAGTATAAATTGATATAATCACTTTGGAAATGTTTGGTATTGTCTACTAAAGTTGCAAATATGCATATCCTTATGACCCAGTAATTCCATTATTAGGTGTCCCTTGGACAAACCTTACAACTTGTATACTAGGAAGAACGTTCACAGAACATAATTCATAATGGTAAAAACCTAGAAACTATATAAATGTCCATCTATGGATATTTATCACATTAAGAAATTAAAACTGAGAAAATTTTATAATATTTATTAATTCATTTAAAAATAACAATAAACTCACTATGTTAATATAAATAACATTTTTAATGAAAAATAACTATTTTTATAAATATAAATATTTAGTTAGAAAAGTGGCACTGTTTTACATTTTTGCAAATCTCTTTGTCTAGCATAATAGAAGATAGCTAGAGTCTCATATCTGCTTCTGCATTCAATCTGGTGTAATATTGCATGTCATAAAGCCTCTAGGATTCTCCATTGTACACTTGAAAGAGAATGAGAGTGAAAAAGGCAAATAATGTCTTAGTATTCTTATAAGAATACATTTAACCTCGCAGACCACACTTTGTTGTTCTGCACTATAGCAATTAAAATGAACAAACTACAGTGGCACGCAACAATATACTGTTGCATGAAAGAAGACACAAATACAATATTTCAAATATATAAAGTTCAAACATGACCAAAATCAAACTATGTTAAACTATATTTTTTATTAATTGTAAAATAAAAAGAAAAGCAAAGATACGATTACCATCAAAATCGGGAAAGTGGTTATTCTATCAGGGAGAGAAAGAGTTATTTATCACTGGGAAGGACCATGCAGTAGAAAAGCCTCTTGGGGGTAGGGGAACAGTAATGTCCTACTCCAGAGGTTGACAAACTTTTTTTGTAAAGGGCTAGATAGTGAATATTTTTTACTTCGTGGACCATACTGTCTCAGGTGTAACTATTCAACTCTGTCATTGTAGGGGGAAAGAGGGACCGGCTGCGTTCCAATAAAACTTTATTTACAACAAAGTTGTAGGCTGGATTTGGCCCAGAGGGCTGTAGCTTACCAACACCTGTTGTACTTCTTGACCTGGGTAATGGTTACATGAGTGTTCACTTGATAATTACTCGTTAAACTGGTCTTTTCTATTTTAAATACTTTTCCAGTAGTAGTTACATTTTACCATAAGAAATGTTAAAAAAAAAAAAAAAAAGGAAGTAAAAAGCCTCAGTATATTAAACAGTTAAAAAGTCCACAAGGAAAATATCAGGCCGAAATAGTTCCAGAGATGTGTTCTACCTAATTTTCAAGAAACATTAATTCAAATCATTTCACAATATTAAAGAAAAAACTACTCATTTTATGAGCTTAGTTTGACCTTGATATGAAAACCAGAAAGACAGTATGAGAAAAATTATAAGACAATCTCACTCATAAACACAGACCAGAATATCCTAAACATTTTAGCAAGTTGAAACTGGCTGTGCTAAAGATAAGGAAAGATGCTTAATTTCACTGGTAATTAAGGTAATGGAAATTAAGATCACAATGAGATACTGTTTTAGAGCAACTAGAATGGCGGAAATTAAGAAGTTTGATAATATCAGAGGATAGAGAGGATGTGGTCAACAGAATTATACACTGCTGCTAGGAGTGTAAACAGACACAAATACTTGGGGAAAAATCTGTATTAACTTATCATACTTATGGGTAAAAAAAGAATTAAGTCGCAAAAAGCTACATATAGCAGTATATAATTTTTATATAGCTCATAAACAAGCAGAACTAATTAATATTGTTTAGGGAATCATGTATATGTGATAGAACAATTTTTAAAAAATCAAGGGAATGACAAACCAAAAATTGAGGATGCCAGTTAGTTATCTTTGGGAGGGAGGCAGCAGGATGGCAGAGCACAAGGGTACAGGAGTAGATGCAAGGTAGTGGTAATGTTCTAGCTCTGGAGTTGAATGATTGGTTCATGGATATTCACTTAAAAAAATTATGCTGTATAATTTACATGTTTGCTATATTTACTCTTCTGAATTTACTTAAAATTGAAATAGATAATTAAAAGTAGACAATAAAGGAATACACAACTCTGTACTTATACAGTCACTTGGGGAGAAAATCATAAAAGATAAGTTCCCTCACAGCCAACAAAGTATTCTTAAAATCTGTTCCCAAAATATGCTTGGCCCACTGCTGCCACAAGTCCTTAGGGAAGCAGTGTTATAAAACGAAATGAGGCTTCAGAGTGAAATACTTGGCTCTGCACTAATAAGTTGCCTAATTTTTTTAAGTTTATTTTCCTCATCTATTAAACAGGCATGTTAATAACTGCTCCTATCTCACAGTGCTAAGGTGAGGATCAAATGAGATAACGTCCATAAAACCATTTTATAAACAATTAAGTGCTTTATAAATGGCAGTTATTTTGTGAAAGCTGAAGGTTAGGGGACGATGAGGTTAGTGAGTTTTCTACTAGGGCATCTCGAATCAGAAGCAGCAGCACTGAAGGGCATTTCATGTACCTTGATGAGTTGATTGTTCTTCACATAGTGCAAAGTGTTCGACCGATTACCTCCAGCAACCACAGGTGGGTAGGCTAAGATGTCTGCACCACGAGCCCGGCATTCAAATTCAAACTGCAAAACAAGAGCAAAGTATGACCAAAAGTATGACGGAAGAAAGGATTTCCTTAGGGTGGCCCCAGCCCATGCTCTCTTCAACAGCCCATACCTCCATTCAAGTACTTACCTTAAGTCATTACTGGAAAATTATTCATCATTTCTAATCAAACTTTTTATGCTGTAATTTCAGTCCATTTCTTTTATTCTCACCCCAATCCTGTTATTCAACTCTATTATTAAATCTGTTCTTTTCTTCCAAGCACTCTAAATTTTCAAATTGTTAAGTCCAGAAGAGGACACAGAAAACCTATGATCAGGGCCGGCCCCGTGGCTTGGCGGTTAAGTGCGTGCGCTCCGCTGCCGGCGGCCCGGGTTCAGATCCCGGGTGCGCACCGAGGCACCACTCCTCCAGCCATGCTGAGGCCGCGTCCCACATACAGCAACTAGAAGGATGTGCAGCTATGACAGACAACTATGTACTGGGGCTTTGGGGGAAAAATAAAAAAAAAAAAAAAAAAAAAAAAAAGAAAACCTATGATCAAAGCTGAGTACAGAGATACAGTCATGTAAAGTTACTGTTTGTTTATTCCTATTTATTTATTTATTTTTTGTGAGGAAGATCAGCCCTGAGCTAACATCCATGCTAATCCTCCTCTTTTTGCTGAGGAAGACTGGCTCTGAGCTAACATCTATTGCCAATCCTCTTCCATTCCCCGTCCCGCCCCCCCAAAGCCCCAGTAGACAGTTGTATGTCATAGTTGCACAACCTTCTAGTTACTGTATGTGGGACTCGGCCTCAGCATGGCCGGAGAAGCAGTGTGTCGGTGCGCGCCCGGGATCCGAACCCGGGCCGCCAGTAGCGGAGTGTGCACACTTAACAGCTAAGCCACGGGGCTGGCCCTGTTTATTCTTATTTAAACACTAGCATACAGCTTGCAGTTTTAACAACAGCTCTGAATTACTAATTTCAACCTGTCAAATAGCTACCAACCTATATGCTCTGGAAAAGTGAAAAAGGATGCTAGGCAAATGGCAAGTTCTACTAATTTCACCATGTCCTAGGATGGAGCTGGAGACTGGCGAGTGTCTGCCACTACCTATGGCACTACCCTTAGATTCTCTTCCTTACATTTACCTAAACAGTATTATTATTCTCATCTCACATTTGGGTAAGTCTTTCCCTCTTCATCTGTTCTACTTTGCAATTTTCTTCATTTAATTGTAGTTCCGCATATTTTACACTCACCCAATAAATTATCAGTGACATTTAGGAACCAAATCCTCTCCTAGTCACTTCCATGAAAGCCTACTGGATGCCATCTGCAAATCAATGAAATTACTTTACATTTGCCTCTAACGAGAGATTTCCAACCATTTAAAGCTCACCTTAGCATAAAGAAAGCCTTCCTCCACAGGGGCTTTACTGGCAAACATGGTCTCTATGAAAGCCTGCAAAGAGAAAGGAGTGAAAAGAACACAGTCTCATTTTAACTATACTGCTTACTCAAACATACAAAATACTGGAGCTCAAATGAAAAGCACCCTTCTCTCCAATTTTGTTGACCTGAAGTTGTGACTTCGTGGGCATGATAATATAGATTTCAGAAGGGAAAAATACTGCTTTCAGGAATATTTGAATGATGACAGATTTAGTGGAAGGGCACCCAACCTTCCCACTCAGAATATACATTGTATGCTAGAATAAGCTACATGGAAACACATTCGTCATTTATGTAATCCAATGTCTATAGCCCGGTAAAGTATGAAATTTTGATTGAATGGTCCCAACCTCAGCACTATCGACATTTTGGGCTAGATAATTCTCTGTTGTGGGGGGCTGTCCTGTTCGATGTAGGATGCCAGCAGCACTCCCCAGTTGTGATAATCAGACATTGCCAAATGCCCTCTGGGAGGCAAAACTGCCCCTAGTTGAGAAGCATTGGCCTATACCATAAGTACCTTAATTAATTCTCTATGATAGCCACACTATATGTGTGTGTGTGTTTTCTATTTTTTATAAGCGTAAATCTTTATAATTCACCACTATATCTTGTTTCCAAAAGGATTTTTGATTAGCATACATGCATACATAAACTATTACAAGATAGCATAAATGCACTGTTGACTTAAAGGAAAGCAAGGCTTGGGATGAATGGAGCTCAAAAAAATAAAAGTGCACACATAATGCCCTTCAGTTATTAGTCTACAATGGATGGGCCACACATTTACCCCTCAGTTTTCTAGCAGCCAATGTGAAAAGGGAAACCCTGTCAGCTATATAATTTCCAATGTCTGTGTGATAAAAACAAATTGGTTGCACAGGGATATGACTATATGACGCTACAACTAGAAAGGAATTTCTCTCGAGTTGCTACATTCTGAAAGTGAACGCGTGGAATGTGCAAAGGAATGTTTTTAGTAACATTTCTCAATACAAGATAATGACATGACCATACAACCCAGTAGAGGAAAGGGAAGTGGGGCCGCAGTGGGAATACCTGCATGGCTGCTCCCTTTCTCATTCTGATTTTCCTCAAATGGAGAGAAGACCTTCCCGACCACCCCATCTAAATTAGCACTTCACATCACGCTTTACCCCCTTCCATTTCATTTTTCTTCACAGCATTTAATTCCAGCTGACTATATAGCATACATTGGTTTACTGTCCCTCCTCAGCAAGAATGTAGACTGAGGGAAAGAACACATGGATGGTCTGTTTTGCTCACCACTGTATCCTTAGAACCTAGAGCAGTGCCTGGCACTGCAGCAGGTACTCAATAAATAGCTGCTGAATGAATAAGGAATTAAAATTAGTTAAAGGATACTTAGTTTTATACATATACAAATGTTGATATTGCACTACACTTTTAGCATGAAGCTAAAACGACATACAAAAAAGGAAAATGTGTGGTAGCTCTAGTGAGGCTCATTCACTTAAAAGAGGGATTTCTTTGTCTTTTTATTAATTTCCTTTCAAACCTTTACTGAATAGCAGAATTTTTGAAGTCATGGCCCTTTCACACTGCTATGCAGACTAAACATGACAGGAAAGTTCCTCTTGCCTCCTAGGTGGTCAAATGCCTGACCCTGCTTTATTTCTTTTCATAATGAATGTGCCTCCCATGAGTCCATTTCTTCACAGATGATTTCAGGTATTTATGGTACATGGTTCAAATGCCACCTATCCTTACCATGTGTGTGATGTCCTACTGATAAAGATTGATGGGCAAATTTTATGACTGCCACTTCTTATTGGGGTTGTCTTGTCACAATGTACCCCATACTCTCCCAATCAACACTTGACCCTCTTACTTCACTAGGTGCTATTTAAACGTTTGTATTTTGATTCTTTAAAAATGTAAAATGGGGTTTTTTTGCATTTTACTCTGTGCATCTCGTAATCAGAACACATCATGAATGGACACTGTATAGCTTATGGAGAAGGGAGAGTGGAGAAAAAAAGCACTTCAGGAATGATTTCATAAAGGTTTTATGTGGGTGTGTCCACATGGGGATGATGTGAGTAGGGAGACTATGCCATTTGGAAAGGAGGGGAAGGGCACTCCAGGCAGAGGGATGGCATGAGACTATGGCATATCTCGAAAGTTCAGTATGGCTAGAGTGTCAAGCACAAGTGGAATAATAAGACGAGATGAAGCTGGAAGGGTAGACAGGAGAGGCCAGCTCATAAAAGGCCTTGCGTGAGCAAGTTGAAATTTAATCCTAAAAACAAGGAGCCACCAAAGAAGTTTAAGAGGAGAGGGACAGTCAGATTTACAAAGATCACTCTGGCTAGGGTACAGTTAGACTCAGGCAATAATGGAAGCAGGGAGACAGCAAAGGGATATGAGGTGTCCTACTGTGCTAGGCACAGGCCAAAATAACACAACTTGGTACGTAAACTCAGGTCTGTCTGTTTTCCACCATACTCTTCTGCCTCCCTAGGAGTGGGCTTGGGGATTGGTTAATTAGATATAAGGGTCGGGGAAAAGCATTTGTCTAGATAATTTCCCTATTTCTATCTAGAGTAGCTGGGTAGATGTTGATATTATCAACCATGAAAAAGAATACAGCAGGAAAGTCAGGTCTGGTTGAGAGTAGAGCACAAATTTAGATAATCAGGGGAAATTCAGGTAGAGATGTCCAGGAGGCAGGATACATGCTCAGCCATAGGAGAGATCTGACCTGGACAAAGTCTGACTCCCTCCCCACTTTTCCTTCCGCCCACGTATTCTACCAACTCCATGTCTGTAAGAGTTACTTAACTCTGATGGAAAGGTCCTTTACTAAAACCAAATCAGAGTGCAACAAAATCCAAATGAGCAGTATCACATAGGCACAAATTATATTTGGCTTGCCCCTCAAAAGAAGGGAAATTTTCATTTGGGCTGAACAATACAATTATAGCATAATTGAATAATTATTCAATTCCTTAAGAATTTAAGGAAACTATGTTGCCCAAATATCCAAAACTCTTACAGACATACTCTAGACCCAAATTGGGAACACTAAGGGAACGATCACTGGCAGCTAGCAGTTGTTCATTAAGAAAAATAAGGCCAAATTCCACCTCCCTGCCTGATGTCATTACTGGGTTGGTAGATAAAGGGAATACCATAGACTTAATACTTTTAAATTTTAGCACAACACTTAAAATAGTCTTAGGATAACATCCTGGACAAGTGAGAAAGTGTGGATCAGAATAGCCCTAGGCAGATTTATAACTGATTTTACACCTTATCCAAAGACATCTGATCACTGGACTGATATCAATTCCTCTGGAGCACTTAACATTGTTCAACAGATCTGTTCTTGGCTTCTTCTCTTCCTTATCTTAAAAATCAATGATTTGAAGGAAGACAAAGACATACGCTTATCATATTTGTAATTAGTTGTAAGTAGTCTTTGCTGGTCCAGCTGTGGCTAGAGCACTGGACACTGGACTTGAAGAAGGACCCTGACAAACTAGAGCACATACAGAGGAGGGTTACCAAAATTAGGCAACTATAATATATGAGGAAGAGTTAAGGAAAACAAGGATGTTTCACTTGGGGAAGATTAAAGGTAGAACACAGGAGAGCAGCCTTCAAATGTTTGTGTGCTATGAGGCTGTGAGGTTAATTCCAGCAGGCCTGGAATTAGCCTGAGCTGTTTTGCTAAAGTTCCTGCCTGGCACTGATCCTGGTCAAGGCCTCAAATATACTGATTAACAGTGTTGAGAGGAATTTCAGAGCAGCTTGTATCAGCTTGTCAGTATTGATAACAGTGAGATTAATGGTTTGTACTTGGTTTCCATGAGACCTCTGAAGGGCTTTGCTGCTACACAGCAGGAATGTGCCAAGGTGACCAAAACCCCAAAATCCCTAGCTGAGATTCCACTTTGGGCTCCCCAGCTCTGAGGTGTTCTGTGTGTGCATATGTGGTTCCTGACCTACAAGAGAAAATGCATCCTGCCCAGCCCTTACTGAGAGTGGACAATAGGAGCCTGCACCTGGCTTCTCTGGACCCTTGTGTGAGACAGCCACTGGCTGTCTTCCTACTTTAATGCTGTTGCTATACTGTACTCTTTTCCTATAATAAATTGCAGATTTATAAGCAATGTCATTTTGAGTCCAATGAGTGTTCTTTAGCAATCAAACTCTGTTAAGTGCCACTATTATTGCAGTTATCATAAGGAAAGGAAATAAAAAATTAATTAATTTATGCTATTCCAAAGAGAAATAACTAAGGTCATGGGTAAAAGATACAAGAAGGCAGATTTACTTTGCCTTGCAAGGTACTGAGCAAGTCTCCAGACATGTTCACTAAACACTGACATAGAAGCTAGATGTTCATCTGCTGTGAGATTATTGCATTGGGTACATGACCTCAAGGTGCCTACTGAACCCTAAGAGCTGAGATTATTTTAATTTGGTAAAAACTTCTTTAGTAGGAACTATACCTGTGACGTCAACTTCCCAGCAATCTGCATGCGCTCAATTTCCGCAGGAGATTTAATCAGCCGGAGGCGCTGTACCAGCTGGTGGACAGCCCGAACCTTGTTCTTGCTCCTGGCTTTGACCTCAGTCAGATTCTGCATGTAGTCAGAGTGAAGCTGTGCGTGAGAGGGCCTCATCCAGTCATACCAAACCATATTTGTCTCAGCTTAAGAGAAGAAGCCAAAAAATAAATTTAAAATAAAACTAACAGCAACAACAAGAAATATCACCTGTCATAATGACTTTAACAAGAGTCAAAACTATAAAAGCTGTAGCGTGGAACTCTAAAGGGTTGAGCACAAACTCTCTCAGGGCTGAAGTAATTGAAGGGTTTGATCATAAATCACTGGAAGGCCATTCTTTGAAAATGGCAAGATATTCTGAGACTGAATATATAGCTTTTCTGCCCCCAAACTTCAGTGTTCTTTATAAAGATAATAAATGGGACTAAAGCTTTATTCAAGCTTTGATTTTATTTATTATTGAGCTAGAGGCATTGTTGATTAACTGAAAAAGGACGAAAAAAAGTACTCAAATGATGACCTTATGATTAAAAGTGTTCCATCCCTTCACAAAAAATTTCAGTATCAGTGAAAGGAGGTTCTCCTCTCATTTAGGAACAATTATTCATGGCTACAGAAACACTATTGCTGATAATATGTGCTAATCCACACTTATCCAGGAAATCTTTCCTTTTCCACCTGTCATGTATTCTCATTTTAGACAATCACAGTTCACCTTTTAATTTTAGAGACCCAAGGAAATGATCTATATTTGCCTGAGATATAAGATAAGAAGGCTCATCATGAAAATGTTTACCACTTACACGAGGTCTCCATTTGTTCCTTTATTTTTTTCTGACAGTAGTCTATGAGCAGCATTCCCAACAATCTAAGTCTGAAGGGTTGTATGTTTTATACAAAGTACTATGGGACAGAAGAGGGGGGAAAAAAAATCCCAAAAATTTTGATTGGGTATGTATTAGTGACACAATCTCCCATGTATCTTCATTTTAAAATAAAAATGGTTTTAAATGTACATTACATGTGCAACATTAACCCTATTTTTAATAGAAATTTAATTATTGTAATTTTTAAGAAGTAAAACAGCCTCAACTACCTGTTATCAGTGTATGAAATCACAGCCCAATTTTTTTAGGTTTTTAAATAAATATGATTTCATTAATCTTTTCCTTCGCCTAGTGGTTTTATCTAGTAAACTACTAACATTAGAATGGTAAATGAAAAGTGCTTTTCAGAAATACATTTTACGTAATATTTTAATAACACTGGGTTAACGAAATTTAGACTGTAGAACATGACACCCAGCAACTAATTCAAGAAATCAAAAAGCTACAAAGGGGCCAGCCCCGTGGCTTAGCGGTTAAGTGCGCATGCTCCGCTACTGGCAGCCCGGGTTTGGATCCCGGGCGCGCACCGACGCACCGCTTCTCCGGCCATGCTGAGGCCTAGTCCCACATACAGCAACTAGAAGGAAGTGCAACTATGAATGCAACTATCTACTGGGGCTTTGGGGGAAAAAAAGGAGGAGGATTGGCAATAGATGTTAGCTCAGAGCCGGTCTTCCTCAGCAAACAGAGGAGGATTAGCACGGATGTTAGCTCACAAAAAAACAAAAACAAAACAAAACAAAAAAAGCTACAAATAAAATGATTCTGTGCCCCACATTTGTGAAGACTTTGAAGATATAAGAAAGTCCCACTAATTTAGCTGGGTATTTATCTCTGTAAAATACGAATTATTAATATAAAGTAAAAGAATTCAAACATATTAGAACTTACATATTCAAATGAGTATTTTCTTTCAAAGGAGTCTTTGTGGGAAACAAGTCCAATATATTCTATGATTGTTGGAAACAATTTTGGAATTGTCTTTTAGAAACTAACTTCAAAAATGGTTTACAAACCATAAAAATCAGGCTAAAATTTTACACTATTCTGGTCTAAAATCAGGATTTTTCAACTTGATCATGTAGCTTATTTACCAAAATTGGCTCTGACTTTTGGATACTTTAAAAAATAAAACACTTCCCAGAGCTGTAGATTTACAAGAATCACTAAGGATAGTTTATAATGTAATATAGGTTCTGAAAAGTTCCAGAAAAGGAATTCAAAACATTCTGAGTGATCATAATTTCACTAGAATAAATGTAGAGAAGGTGACTATTTTGAAGGGCAAGAACTGAATGGCATATTTGAATCACCCGAGAATCTTGTTAAAATGCAGATTGTGACTTAGTAGGTATGGAGTGGGGGCTTATGATTTTACATTCCCAATATCTATTATGCATTTGTAATTCTAATATGCATCACCAGATGATTCTGATGCTAGTGATGCATGGATCATTCTTTGAGAATATTGCCTCCTTTTGAAGAGCCAGCAAAAGCAATAAGCAGCAGTGGTCAAAAGTAAACAAACTGGTCAGTAATCTTGAAGTGGCCCATGCCCATCTTCCACTATAAAAAGAAATTCTTCTGGGATTTCAAACAAGAATAGTTAACAGTCTCTGTGAATGAATAACCTAATGAAGGTTTAGCAAATGAATAAATGAAATCATTAAAGTAGCCCAGTCTTCTGGAAAAGACTTATGTTCCTTTCATGGTGTTCAGGCAAACACTGCTAAGACAATCATTTTAGAAAACTAAGAACTTTGTCTAAATAGGCAAGGAAGGTCTTAATGGCAATCTAGCCTGTGGTTTGACTTCTGCTCCCATTTGTTACCTTTCAGTTTCGGTACCAGATGTTGAAATTCTTCCAGCGTATAGGCTTCGTCCACTCCAGTTAGAGCTGTTGCTCCATCAGTGCCAGATCGTGGGCCATCCCAAAGTTCTCGACTGGGGTCTCTTCGAGGCACAAAAAGCATAGCCTTGTGTGCTGGTAACTGCTTGCCAGGGAGGCTTTGAAGGACCAGAATGCTATCAGGCTCTTGGAATCCACAGAGGTACAGAAAATTGTTGTCTTGGTGGAAAGTATAGGGGATATCATTGCTCATGTAATATGTAGGGTTGGACAGCAGAACCACTGTCTGGTCTGTCCCACTCTGACCTTGTGCTTCCTTGTGGATCAGAGACATTAGTTTGTGTCTGCGAAGTGCATATTCCACCTGGGATAGTCCTGGCGTCACCTCCCCTAGAAATGACAAATAACAGTCGTGCTTTGCGTTTCTATAGTGCCAAAGTACTTAAGGTAGCTTAATACTAGATAGAGACACCCAAATTCATTTCTTCAATTTATGCCAAATCTCCTCAGAGCACATGGGGAATTAAGGAGATAACCCAGGTTTCAAATTTCTATTCCACTGTAAAAATTTGGAAGAAATGATAATTAAATGTGGTCCTACCTGAAAACTGGGATCATGACTCTTTAAGATCTCTTCCAGCTCTTTGGTTCATTCTTGTACTCATTCGATCAAACATTTACTGAATATTATTATGTGGAAGGCATTGTTAGGCATATAATCAAAGTTGCCCTGAAGTTTCAATATATAAGGTGAGGAGAAGAATCACATTATCTGTGTATGACTTCTCTAAAAGAATGTAAGCTCCATGAGGACACAGATTTTTGTCTGTTCAATGTTATATTCCCAGGGCCTAGAATAACAATTGGAATATAGGGGCATTTGATAAATATCTGTTAAATGATCATAGTTTTTAACATAATAGAATTTAAGGGCAAAAAGCTTTCCCCAATTTCAAGAACTAGAATAAGTTTCTCCTTCTGAATCTCGAAGGCATAATAATACCTTTCTAATAGGACCTTTCACTCTCTACCTTGTATTAACAGTGAACTGGGTATATATAATCTCCTCGAGGGTCAGAGCTATCTCTGTATCCTCCAAACACTTTAATAATATTATCTACCTCTTGGGGCTGTCATGAAAATCAAATTTGATGAAGGACGTGGTTCTTAAGGATTGACGACTCTGTAAAGAAACTTTTGAAAGCTATGGATTCATTCTGTTTGCTAAAGTGGATGTAGGCACATACAAACTTTTGACATACAGTTTCAAGAGTATCTGATTCCCTTAAGCCCACCCAAAAAACCCAGATTAAGAACCTCTGTTATAGATTGGATTGGTGGTTACCAGAGGGGAAGGGGGGAGGGAGGAGGGTGAAAGGGATAATTCGGTACATGTGTGTGGTGATGGGTTGTAATTAGTATTTGGGTGGTGAACATGATGTAGTCCATGCAGAAATAGAAGTGCAATGATGTACACCTGAAATTTTTACAATGTTATAAACCAATGTTACTGCAATAAACAAAACAAAAAACAAACAAACAAAAAAAAAAGAACCTCTGTTATGAAGTGTTGTGTGTTCTTAATATTACTACCTAGCAGACTGCTTGGCTGCTAGCCCAGTGATGACTGGGTGAATGTTTCTCTTCTGAAATGGAAATTATGCCTGCTTTCACTTCAGGTTCCAAAGCAAAAGAACTACTACAACAATCACTCAAAAAATCTGTATCCTTCAGCCTAAACTTAGCAATAATAACAGTAAAACAAAATCTAATGCTCACTGAATGCTTACTATGTTTCTGATACTATTCTAATTATTTACATATATCAACTCCTTTAATCTTTACAATGACTCTATGATATGGGTTACTATTATTATTATTATTTTCCTCCCCAAAGCCCCAGTACATAGCTGTATATTCTAGTTGTATATTCTAGTTGCAGGTCCTTCTATGTGAGCTGCCATCACAGCATGGCTACTGACAGATGAATGGTGTGGTTCCATGCCCAGGAACTGGGCCCGGGCCACTGAAGCAGAGCGTGCTGAACTTTAACCACTAGGCCATGAGGGCTGGCTCGTGGGTTATTATGATTATTCCCTGCGGTAGCCAGTCTCCACATGCAAGTATGGAAAGACAGCCATGAAACTGCTCTATGAAATAGTTACAGAATATGTTTTGTTTTTGTGAGGAAGATCAGCCCTGAGCTAACATCCATGCTAATCCTCCTCTTTTTGCTGAGGAAGACTGGCTCTGAGCTAACATCTAT